CTCGAGGGTACGAGAGGTCACTTGCAAATCAGATAAGTATTGATTTCAACATAGTATTGGAACATGATGGGAGAAAATATGTTCGTTCGTACCTAAATTTTGGCACACAGGAAAACAGTTTCACCACAACTTTGATTATCTAAGGGCGTTTTTATGTGTACACCTACTGCTTACTGGAAGCAGAAGGCCTATCTCATTCTCAGCAGTGATTTTTATGTAATAAGTTAGATATACGTCTTTCAATTATCAAGTATATATCAAAACGTTTTACCTAGAAAAGTTTATGTAGAATACATGTAAACGTTGCAAAACTATGGATTATTTCTCCAAATTGTGAATCAGCATGCCATGTGCTCATGTAATATGTTATGTAAGCTGATGCAGTGGCAGATTGTAAATTGGACTGGTCTGGCCCCAAAGTTTTAGCTTTGTCTTCTCCAAAATTATCAAAGAATATCCAGTTCATGTTTTACAACATGCTTGATAGACGAGATATTCAAATTGCCACAATCCTTGACTTCTGTAGATACTTTGTTTTTTAATAAGACGACGTTGTATTCCTGTCTCTTGTACGAAGGTGTTACATTTTTTCCCATCAGGATACTGAAGTATTTTGTAAGGATACCAAACGTATCGCTTCCATAGTATCTATAAGAATTTGATTGGTTCTTAATTATATTGAAATATATTACCAAAAAATACATAAAGCAACCCTTTTTGACAAGCTGACATGCCGTGTTTCAAACAAAACAAATAGCATGCAAGTATATGTAATATCAAACGGCATTTCACATGAGAACAAAAACCTTATCGCGACCATATGGGTTTTGAAAGTCATGCATGTCCGATTCTATCAACTAAACAGAAACTAAATTCTAACGACATTTGGTTTGAGAACAAATTATGTTCCAAATGCTTTATCAGATGTCTTTTTAAAGGTCAAACATCTCCACTGTATCAATTTGAACCGACGGCCTATCATATGAAAACACAACACTCTCCCTGGACTACCCATTCAAGTGTCTCATTGCCTTACGAGCATCAACGAGGATAGTTTTTGACATATGTTTACAATATTTTAAAGGGACATCACGGAGAAATGTTTTTTTAATGATTTGTTTTTCAAATACTGCATGCGTATATCAAGTGAGTCTCAGAATAGAAAATGACAGTCGGATTTCGCTTATACGTTTTCATAAAATTGTATAATAACTTAAAGAAGAGGGTAAATGTATGCCCATTTAACACCATTTCATTGTAAACAAAATGGCTTGCAGTGGGAGTGTTAGTGTGTTAAAACTGTTACTGGGTCAGCTACGAAGCGAAGAGTTGCAATATGGTCAAAACATATTGCAGGGATAACGTTAGGGAACAATAATTGCTGGTGGGAAGTTTTATAAAATGCACTAGCAAGCGGACCGTTACACGTATTCTTCTGGATAGCCGGTAGGAAGTTGATTATAGCTGACGTGGAATCGAGCGCAGTGGTGTTAATGTTGTGAACAAATATTTAAAAGAAAAATATATTTGAAATATATTTTTTTAAATATGTCCCATCCCTTCAGTTTTGTTACAAAGTCAATGTCCCATTACAAGAGGATAGATAATCGCAATGAAAATGTTATATCGTCATAAAAAACATATGATACATAATGCACCTTCACTATCTGACACAATGTACTTTTATTTTCGAATTGTCCATGTAAGTTTGTGTATGATGACACTGTTACAGTGTTAGAAGAGTGATGAAAAGGGTGTGTCCCGTGATCGTGTATGTTTGAAAAAAGAAGGGTATTCTCGTGCCAATTTGACCCGTTCTTATCCCATTCGAACATGATTTGTTCATTTGAATATTGGCATGTGAACAACTAACTTATGATGATAAATATTTACTGTATGTGTGATTCAATCAGTTTCAACACACAGTTACATAAAGCTTATTCGTTGGTTTCAAAATGGGTCAAGAAAATGTCTAAATACATCCCCCTCTCGAGGAGCCCCACTTGTCACTGATTGTGTTTAGAAATGATTCTGCCTTGTTTCGAAATCGTCACAGGACGTTCTCGGTGATGTATTTAATAGGGGTTTCCCGCACAAACTGGACATTTGGAATGGATTTTCAATTATGGATAGCAAGGAAATATAATATGCAGCGCACAAAACACGTACATTCAATAACTGAAATATTGCTTTTGACAGTATATCCCTTAAGAAAGGCATCCAAATTATTGTATAACAACCTAAACTTATATGTAGCAAAGAGGTGTTCATAGAATTATATCTGTTTTTTAAAAATGTGTTACTAATTAATGATCTTCAATACGGTCCTACTCTGACAAATAATAAATAATAATCAGGAAAAATAAAAATAAATAAAAAATGAAATTCCATAGAGATTTTTGGAATGGTTTTCGCTGTTGGTTAAATGGGGCATGGTACCTATGTTTCCCCCTCAACCGTCCTTATATGTTGATGATATATAATATTATTATTTTTTTGCAACACATGCCAGTTTCTATGGTTTTGATTTGCAAATGTCGCGAGTCTTCTTAGTTCAGTCTCGGCTGTCCTTGTCGCTGCTCTTAACTCCGCCTTTGATCCCGGCAGACTTTTCTTGATCTTGCGCAATATTCTTCTGTCACACAATTCCACGCGAACACTGTTCCTTCGTGAAAACTTTTCACCAGTGACTGTGACTTTAGTGACGACATGTTATACTGTTTTATTGCGCTGACCTCTTTCGATGTCAGTCATTTTGTCAAGCTCTGGTGTGTTAACGCAATCCGTGGCACAAGTAACGATTGGAAGTTTACAACAGAAAAAACAAGATTCAAGAATTAGACTCTCGAGAAGTTTTTGGTATGTGTTCTAAAATGGAATCGACAAACAATAATTATATCATAACGACAGATAGCACCGATCACTCAAAGGACTTAGCGTTATTGTGTTGGTACATGTGTTGTAATTGACCAAACTTTGTCTGAACCTTTAGTATGGTCACACATTTTATGTACAAAATCCACAGCAATGTTTTAAGTCAAAACTTCTCATCACAATATGTCGGGGTCTCTCAGTAGATTGTTTGGATATTGATGATAATGAAGCGTATATTATGTTGTTTGATTAAAATAGAAAATAAACAAACTTAAACATGTATGTGTAAAATAAATATTCAACGGAAAATTACTCTGTAACTGTCGCATCCCCTTACAATTAAGTTGATATAAATTCAACTATAATAATAATAATAATAATAATAATAATAATANTTTTTTTTTGTTCTCCTTGGGATCAAGAAAAAGATAAAATTATGATATGCTTGTCCAACGTTTAAATGTTATGTCTCTATCTTTTGTAAGAATGATTATGAGAAATTACAAGTTTAAGGATAAGACTCGTGTTTATTTCATTGAGAAATATATCATAATTGACATAGTTTCAAAGTATTCTCAATTATATATTGTTGACCTTTGTTGCCTTTTAAATGATAAATTAGTTGGTTTTAATAAATAGCAAAATATGTTGGTGACTTTTTGAGTAAGATATTGCACACCATACATGAAGTTTGTTAAATATCTCCCACAACCACTAGGTTTCCTCACTTACACCTCATTGGATACGTGATTTTGTTGATCAATCTTTTATATTTGACGTCCCGTAACAGGTCTTTGCGAAGTCATCTTCAATTTAGACGTTATTATACCTAGCAATTGTTTCCCCCATCGGAAACAATAATTGGGTACTTTCCAATGGAAAAATGTGGGTTTCCAAATAAAATACGAAGGTAATAGGAGAAAAAGGCACCCAGACTCGCGATAGTTATTATCATGTTTGTCTCACTCTCATTACTAAGTATTCAAATTTTAAAAACCTCTCGGTAAACTTTGTATCCTCATGCAATTTGAAATTGTTTGATAAACATAATAACCAACCATCACTTTTTGAGGAACTTCTATAAATCTTCAGTTTTGTTTCTTATTATCTTCATTACAAGTGGTATGAATTGTTCTTTTATGAAGATTTGTAATAGATTTACCATTTAAATTTGATATAATACAGACATTCGTCATCGTGAAAAGAAATCTGACTTGTGCTGCTATTATGGTTATTATTGGTATTTTCTAAGTACTTTGACTGGATGAATATAATCTGTAACATGTAACTGAGCAGTATCAGGTACTCGATTCTGTAACATATTCCCAACGAGTCTCAAGTCGAGGTTAGCATGTTATAGAATTTTATCCGGAGAGTAAGATAACCTGATCTCGCTCAGACATTAATGTTATTCAAAAAAGAAACTTTATTTTCGACATATTTTTCAAGTATCACCTCTGTGACCTCATTTTTATATGACCTCTGCATCACTTAAGCTACGTTTAATGCTATCTCATACACAATGAACTTTGTTCGAAAAAAGAATAAAACATGTTTCACGGTGAAGATAATATCAAATATATAATTAGTGAATTAAATATAACCAAAACAATACATTTTAATGACAAAATAGAGTATCTAAAATGATGAATATACCACCATGTCAAATTAGGCCAAAATATAACTTCAAGAGAAAATAAATCTGGCAAGATTGAAACATATATCGTGAAGAATAATGTTGTGTTTTCCTGTATGGGTGCGAGAACTAATAAAGTTGTATGCATGTTTGACAAGCAGCAATGGGAACTCGTTGACTTCTGTATTTTTGTATGCATCCTTTTTACAAAACATTAAGGAATGACCAAGATTATTTTGAGGAGTATACAATACTTACCAAGAGAACTGTGTACACCATTGTTCATAACACCCTTCACGAATCCATGCAACATGCATAGTTTTATACAAAGAAAACGAAAAATGTGCACTCTTTTCCATAAACCCTTTCGAGGATTTATGTACAAAGCATTTTTTCATATACTGTATATGCCTCCAAATAATCTTGCTTGTTCCTTATAATTGAATTTCAAAAGACAGTCATCACTTTCTTCAAGTGCATATTTATTTACATATGAAGTTAAGATAAAAAGAACAAAAACAATTTTTCACAAAACATGGTTCTTCATTTTCATCACCGAGCAAACTAAAGCAATCAGATAGGTTAAGTAATAGTCAATATGTATTATACAAATGTAACATGATATCCTTTTGTCTGTATTCCGTTGCTGACTTACACTACCTGCATCTCAAACTGATTCACTCTTTTTTTTGCTCTGAGTTTGATTCTCTACTGGCAGACACTGTCTGTGTTCTGAAGTTGATTATCTACCGACTGAACTGTATATACAGCCGTGGACATAGCAGGCTGTTTCTCACTGATGGACTTTGTTTACCGATGATGTTTATCTGCTGGCGGATCTTTCGGTATCATCATCGTTGTCGGTACCTTCACAAACAAAACGAAAAAAATCATTAAGCAAACAGTCGAACTTAAGCTTATTTAATATAGCATAATACTTCCATTAAACAATGATGTAGTACAGAGTTTGTAGGGCTCATTTCTTAGCTTTGAAAGTATTTTTGTACAGTAGTTCATGAAACGTCATCCGACCGTATACATTGAATAGGTATCGAACATATTGGAGGAATTTTTTGAATTCGAAAGTGGACCGAGTAACGTATATTGTACTTCGTGATTAAATCAATATTCATATAAAACAGTTAATGTGTCAGTGATTGATTATAAGTGCCTCCATACGTTCTTACTTGTTTTTCAAACTTTTCTCGTATAGAACAAGGAATGCTATCAGATTTTACACACGCCTAAACTCGCCATGTACTTATAATGGCCACTTGTGACATCACTGGTCAACTTGGCTCATTACCTCCCACAAAATAAGCATATTCACAGGCCCGATAAAGTAGGGCGCTTACCTTGTAAGTCATACGGCCCGTAGTCCCGGGAAAGATATGTGTTAGTACATCGGATTAGCGGCAAATACGCTATTTTATTATTTTAATCTAAATATCCGAAAATATAGCATAAAATTACTTACTTATGTACGCTGTAACATAACTCTTGGTCATTCATTGTAAAGTTTTATCAAAAAAACAATGGTATCGTTAGAAGTACTTTGAAATCAATCTGAACCCACCTTCCGTCTTTTCCTCCAAATAGCTGTAGCAGTGTACAGAAACGGATTGATAGCGGCGTTCATAGGCAGCACGAACACCATCACCCATGCATACACGTCATCTGGGATTCGTACTCCACATTTTGCTAATACTCCTGGAACAGATCACGTGCTCTTAATGTAAATTATGAAATTGTTTCTACAATATGCTAACACTCCCGATCTAAAAAAAATATGAGAAAAATCGAGTAGTCTATTTGTTAGGGCTATTGACAATAAACGATAAAATGGCATTTTAAACTGAATGACGTATGCTCGTTAACTACATTTTTATCTGTTATAAAATGGTATACCAATGAAATTTTGGTTAAAATTGCTTCATGAAGTTGGCTATTTATACACATGAATCTATACATACTCACGTTAAAGAACAATTTGTTATACGTACAAAATATATTAATGGAAATCGAAAAATGAAGATACCAATTCAGCATGAAATTAGAATTAAATACATGCATACCTTGTATTATGTTTAATATTATGATACATTAATAAATTAGAATAGGAAAACTTACCCATGACACCAATCGGAAACCAGCAGAAAAAGTCTGTGGCCACAACAAAGAACAGAGTAATTGCTACAGTCATCTCTCGTTGACGGTTCTGTGAGGAGCTAATACGGCGACCACTTTTTCTCATGCTTTTGCAAATGCAGATTTGGCCTATGACTACTATTATAAAGACGCTGCTGTTCAGACAAACAAATATTGCGAAGGAATATTCCGTTCCTGGCCACTCTTCTCTTGTCAAAGGTAGAGCGAGACACACACTTGACTGAGAATAAAATTCCCCTTGGAAGTAGGACTGTATTGTAACAATAGGGATTACTGCAAGTGTGATAGAAACAATCCACGAGAGAACTGAGAAAATTAAAGCCTTTTTCCATGATATGTTCCAACTAGAAAGACGAGAAAGTGGGAACACTATGACAATTACTCTGTCTATTGTTACCAGTAGAATAAGAAACGTCGACATCTCACTTGATACACTAGATAAAACACCAGCTAAAGTACATAAGATGCTTTTTCGCCAAATATGATCATTCCATGCATAAACACCGTTGTAATATATATCAACAACTCCTATTATGATAAGGTAGACGCCCATTAGTAAATCGGATAGGGCCAAGTTAAATACAAAAAAAGAATAACTCCTTGTCATATTATCACTGTCGAGGAAAAGTCGATAAAATAGAACCAGCAGGTTTCCCATAAAAGCACTTATCCCAATTATCCAAAGACACACTCGAAGTACTTCCGACCTCACCAAAGCAGAACAAGATGAAATCGCATCACCTTTGGTGTTTGAACACCCAGACAACCAGCAATCAAATAATGGTTTATCTGTTTCATAACAATGATTGTCAGCGACCGAGCTCGGCTTGACACAACATATGAAGGGTACATCAGTATATAACCTGCTAAGATGATCTAAACCTTTAAAAATATCTTTTGACACTTCTATTTTGTTTCCAATGATATTTAATTGAGACAATCTATTATTGGCTAGTGCTGCATCAGGTAAATAAGTCAGTGCATTGTTTGCCAAATCAAGGAGTGAAAGTGTAGTGATTTCACTGAACAGATGACTAGGTAGATCTGCTATTTTATTGTCAGACAGAATAAGACAACGAAGTTCAGACGTTCCATTGAACACACTGTCGGGTAGAACACCTATCTTATTGTTGGACAGATCAAGAAGTGCAAGTTCAGACAGTCCATTGAACACATTGTCGGGTAGAACAGCTAGCTTATTGTTGGACAGAGCAAGAAAATAAAGTTCAGACAGTCCATTGAACACATTGTCGGGTAGAACAGCTATCATCTTATTGTTGGACAGATCAAGAAAAGCAAGAACAGACGTTCCATTGAACACATTGTCGGGTAGAACAGCTATCTTATTGTTGGACAGGTAAAGTCCATAAAGTTTAGACAGTCCATTGAACACATTGTCGGGTAGAACAGCTATCTTATTGTTGGACAGATCAAGAAAAAAAAGTCCAGACGTTCCATTGAACACATTGTCGGGTAGAACAGCTATCTTATTGTTGGACAGAGCAAGAAAATAAAGTTCAGACAGTCCATTGAACACATTGTCGGGTAGAACAGCTATCTTATTGTCGGACAGATAAAGTTGATCAAGTTTAGAGAGTTCATCGAACAAATTTTCTGGTAGAACTGTTATTATATTGTTGGACAGGTCAAGTTGTTTCAGTTCAGACAGACCACGGAACACATTTTCAGGTAGAACTGCTAGGTCAGCGTTGGACAGATACAGAGGAACATATCGGTCCGATTCCTGGCCAAAATTCGAGCAATAGATGGTCTCCGTACAGTTGTTGACTTCTAAAACAAATACCATAATCAACTGTACATGATCATAAAATACAAACATCTAAGTATTTTAATTCTCGAGATTGTTTGAAAACATATAAAAAGGTAAAAATGCTTAGGATGTATCTAAATGATATACATTTAGATTAACATTTGCGCTGCAATCCACTATATAAACGTTACCAGTATGAAAGCAAAACCTCTCGTGACGAAACACTTGGTTTACTTATGACGTCATAGATTAACATTGTTCAGTGAGAGTCTTGTCGCTTCGCTTCGAATTACATGGAGAATACCCCTGCGTCAAACGCTCAAATGACTACTGTTAATTATTGGCGCCAATTTTTAAACGGTCATACCGGCATGAAAATAAAGAAAATAACGTTCGATCCCATTATGACGTTGAAAGTCATTAGAATGGTACTGTAATAGATTCGTATGAAAATGTAAGTTGTTCGTCATCAAAAACGGTAAAAGATTTTGTTCCTGTATCACAAGAATCATAGTTTACCGATATATCTGAACTTGACATAGGTCCCTGTTCCTACCAGACCATTGGACGATATTTTCTTTTTGTTCGGTAATTGAAATTACGATACTTGATAATGCCCTTGAAAAAATAGTTGTCAATTTAGATCAACGAATAAACGTTGTTTACAACTTAACATTATTATTGGGGGGGGGGGTTCCGAGTCTGTAATACATATATGAAATGTACGTTTATTCGGGTAAATTACACATCGCATTCTTAATACATGAACTCACCGGTTTGTTTGGCTTTAAATCAGTTTAACAAACACAAAACTATATTTGTTCAATCTTTTATGCATTTCAGCTCTCGCTCTGATATATTAACAACTTCAACGTCTGAAAATAACCGCTTAAGACCAACGAAATATGTAGGAGTCACAATAATAGATACGTATCTCATTGCAAGAGATTTTACTCTTAACTTGACGAGTACAATGGCTTCAGATACGTCATAATGTGTCTCAATAAAAAGAAAAATGTGATCCACAAAGATTTGATTTATTAAAACACCAGCCCTAACCTTTATACTTACCATAACCGATTCCTTTTTCCGATTTCTGACAGCGAACACAACATTTGTATCCCTTTATCTGATGGGAAGTTTCTGGCGGGCACGCGTTCTCTCCTGTAACCTAAAGACTCTCTAAAATATAATGAACATCACTGCTATACCAGACATATCATTTATCTTACTTTTTACAGAAGACATTTTGGATTTCTGTTTATTACAATTCTGAACACCAATACGAAACCACAAGGTTTGAATCAGAAAACAATTTCGAAACTCCATTGATGATTTTATCTTTCGAATCGTTAAGATGACGCCATGTTTGCACAGTTGAAGATTTTATGTGGTATTTATGGTATTTATTCCCTAAAGAATACAACATAAAAGAACATTCAATTTCATTTTAAAAGTACAAATTTTTTGATTTTTTGAAGTTTTAAAACCGTCCTTTTCATAGTAATACCCCGATAATATGTTTGAATATTCTTTAAACAGGCTAATCATGCACGTCATGTTTCATTCAAAATTGGTACATGTAACCCTGTTTAGAATATTTTAACAAAATATTATCAAAACACACATAGGGGTTTATAAGGATGAGTGCGAAACGTTGAGGTGGACGACTGTATATGAGAAGGATGGAGGAGGAAGTGGTTGTCGGTGTTGTATATGGAGTGAGATGTAGGGGAAGTAACTGACGGTTGTGTAAGAGAAGGATCAGGTTAAGGGGGAGATATAAGTCATATGGCATTTCTAATGCATATACAACCCAGTGAAATATTTCACTTTAACAACAACAAACATACCCTTATCAAATACCAAAATGTTCATTAGAACATAACGATCATTTATAGGTAAAAATAATTTGAAAAAAATGACTCAAAACATTCTGAGAACATATTTAAATTTATTGGATGGTTGCGTCCCTACCTCACACAAGCTAAGTCCTAAATATCCAAAAAAATCATATTTAATATCTTCAATCCATAGTCTATGAAAACCTAGAAAAGAATTCACTCAAAATCCATTTACAATGAAATACTGGCACAATTTCCTGATGGTTGTTTGGCTAAAATTGGCAGCCATTTCTTGCTAGAAAGTGGTCCATGTAGTCAATGAAGCAGAAAGTTTGGAGGCCCAAAGCTGCAAACTGAAATTAAAAAAAATATTTCCCTCAGTTTTGGCTCTATCCTCTTAAACCTTTGTAGACTACATTATGTTTAAATGTAGTTTTGATTTCCAAATTGAATTATGTTTTTAAACAATCTTTGAAAGAGTTATCACCCTTTATTTTATCTTCAAGCATTGTCTTTAAATCTGCTTGGCTTTGTTGCTACAACATGTAGTTGTGCTTTTCAATTCAGCATTTGAATTTTATTTTATTTCAAAGCATTGTCCCCCCTTATTTCTTCAACATTTTTAAAAAGGTTGTCCGGAGATTTCTTCTCTCGGTTTTTGACCAACATTGTTGAAATTTGGTAGGCTTTATTTCCATGAATTGTGTTTGTGTTTCCCAATTCACAATTATTTATTGAACAATATTTGAAATAGTTATCTGTACCGACACCATTATGGAAAACAAAAACAAAGGATATACCTTGTATATGAAATTCATGTGATCTATTATGATCTGCAGACAGGAGCCTTTCTGTTCAACGTATCTGTTGCCTAGGAAGCCAGATAGAATCTACACAGTGTGATAGCTGCATTTGTCACATTAGTAAACATATAGCTGTAACACATGACTTCCATAATTGTTGGTTGTCTGAAAGTATTTTAATTAACAACACATCACTAATAATACTGTTAATATGATTCATTATAAAGATAAGATGAAGATATACTCTGAGATTTCGACTATCTTGACTATTTTATCCAAATTAATTTAGTGAAAGATATACATGTACATCGTCATAGAATAAGTAAACCCAACCTAATCATAACATGTTTTCCATGGTGCAAGACCTGAAAAGTATTTTTTGCACAAACTAACTCACGCTAAACTTAAAACCTTTTTATGTATTGAACAATAGTAAAACACATTTTTTCAATATTATAACTCCCCTCCGGTTGGCCCTATTTTGATTTTCTATGTACCGGTAAGCAAAAACAGTTTTTGGGGCCATTGTTCACATAATCAACATAAAAATGAAATGTCCAGTGAACCATATATACTTGTATAGGGTTATTAGCCAATTTGTTGTTGAAATTGACAACATGTGATAGGTGTGAAAATTGCCTTCTGAAGTGCAGTTTGGATTATTTCTGCAGTTATACTTACCGACGAGAACATTGAACACAAAACTGTTTGATGACTGGCCACTTAGTTACACTCCTGCTAAGGTGGGGCTTGAAATACTGGTTGACATGGTTGAGTAGCTAGCTCAGATTAGGCTATTTATCTCACTGGTTGGCTGGGATATTTGT